AACCAAAATGTTCATCACACAAATCCATATTCTCACCTGTATGCCGTAAATGTGGCCAAATGACGCATAGAAAGAAATTTCATTGTTGTTAGTTTGAGGAATTTTCGGACAGATTTCGTCCTGTAAGTGCAGTCAACCCATCCCAAATCTCCTCATACTACCAACAATCTATAAGTAGCTCAGTGAAGGAATAAACTTCACCCGATGAGTGAAATTTCCATCTGAGAGTTCGTTGTTCGAGGAGCCAGTCAGCATGTGTGGGCGCTTGATGTGGATCCCATGACTGAAAGATGAGCGGCGCTATACCCTGAGGAGACGCTTGATATGGATCCCTTGACTGAAGGATGAGCGGCGCTATACCCTGTCTAAGTGCGAGTTAATCACACTGCTGCTCAGCTGCTCGTGCCCGGATGATTAAGTGTTCAAACTACTATCCTGGTGGTCGCGGGTTCGAGACTCTCTGGAGTTTCCTGATATGCGTACTTCTGATGATTCCCAATAAGAATAAAAAGGCTACACAGTGTTTCTCGGCTTTTCAGCATGGTTTGTTTACACTTATTGAACGAAATCTCCACGAAAAGAAATTCCATTTTCTTACAAATCCTACGCTACCCGAAAGAGGCTGCTTCAAAACTTCAAAAGAATTTGGTGAATGGTATCCCTGCATCTCCAGAATTCACCTTTGAGGGCACAGGAAGTGGAAAAGAATCCCCTTTGATTTTAACCAACATCTTCTACTAAATACCCGTCAATGTATCATTAGTTTCAAACTAGTCCCACTTTTGTTATTCAGTGCAAGGTTTTCTCGATTTTTGAGCATTACTATGTTCCGAAACTGTCAGTAAATTTTCTTCAAGCCGCTTTTATCTGCAGTCAAGTCATTTTGACCCAACCATGGTGATTGGTGCATGATTACGATTCGTCTAACATTGACCACGATAGTCCGAGTTGGGAACTAAATAGTCTGAATCTGATCAAAGGCGCCTGTATTTATTGGGCAAAAAGCATGCTCGTAGGGTCGAAATATGGCACCATTTAATAGCTTTTTTCACTGATTTCGCAGAACAACGGGTAAAAATACTTGTCATTGTCAATTGCCTGCTTTCAAAAGCAGCCGAAAAGTAAACAAAGTGCTTCCGGGGGTTTATGTTGTCCTTAAAGTAAACATGATAGCGGGGCGTTATTTGGTTGGCAGATCAAGCCGTATTTTTTTAGGAAAATATGTTTATAGGGTGTTGGCGGTTTCGGGGTTTTGTAGAATCGTTTGAACAATCATCCTAGTGAGTCCACACCAAAGGGAGGGGGAAGCACTGGACCCGAGTTTCGCTCTTATTAGAACTCATTAGCAGTTCATATCCAATGGCCGTGTCGGGGTTCGAACTCCGCACATCTGACATGCGAGGCGATCGTGTTATCACTACTCCACCAACTCACACTGGACTCATCCGAATTTTTACGTCTGAACGGGTGAACATGTTCGCACTTGAGTGATGTGAGCGGAAAGCCCGACGCCTCGAACGACGACCCAGCAACACACCTTGGTGGAGCCCATTAGCCGCACAATGCTCTTAGCTGCAAAACCTTTACGATTGGAGCAAAACGTTTTGCGTCAAAATATTGCGTTTTGTTGCTTGTGTGCTCTAACCAAAAACCATCCTAATATACGTTCATATTCTAGTGACTCATCAAATTTCATTGTCCGCTGCAGCAATCATACCTCTGGCGGAAAAGCCTGGTGAAACAATCACCCAGGCATCCCTGAGAACCCGGGATGCCTAAGTGGGGCTCAAAGGTTTGGACTGGTCCTCTCAACTCATTTGTCCGATTAAATTAGTCCATCAGGGACACGTCATAACCCTCGAAATTTCCATTCCATTGTGCGAATACCGAGCGCCTACTTTGGTTGTGTCGATCGATTGGCCCGCCAGGCAGGGCTTCACCGACAGGTTTATACCCACACCATAGTTTACGCTACTTGTAACACCGAAAAATTGTCACCCAGAATTTGGAGTTGAAATTTGACTTATACTGTCATCTAGGCAGAAAGTAATGTTGCATGAAACCGGGAGATTGTGCACTGGGCTTATTCAAGTGTACTGTACTAGTCGGGTATCGAGGACACACTCACTTTTCTTGCATTCCAGTGTGGCCCACTCGCCGTTAGCTTTTCCCTACATGTCAAACCCCTCACACTGAATGTTTTTCTGAATGACACGAAGCAACCCATAGTTCGACAAGCCTTTGTCACGCCTTCTGAAAGTGTGACTTCAATTCTGCTTCACAATAAATTAATGACTAATCAATTGCTCCCACTAACGTTTGGATTCTCCACTTCCGCAAGACCATAATTGTCGTTTTTTCGTAACTACATGCTGGATCGGGTGGTGACCCCAGCCGCCATTCCAACTCTTCAGCTGACAACCTACTTAACCGATCTTCCCAGCTCGATTTGCTTCCTTTTTTAAAAATGTTTCTGTATCTCTGACAGGTCTCTCCCCGGTTCTTCAGTGAAAATGGGCGAATAATTTAACGATTGTTTTTTTGTTTCAGCGCTATTATGGAGCATATTCCTAGTTACGAATAGAATTGTAGGGACTCTCTATTTTCCGTGGCTGAAATTTTGATGATGAAGTTGGTAGAAACTGGTTCATTGTGTTGAATAAAGCACCAAAAGTGGGCCAAGCCAACTTACCTCGAATCCGTTCCTGACTCATTTGATACTTTTTCTGGAATGAAATAGAAATCAGAAGCAATGTTTGAGGCTGGAGCCGGATGAATGATGGAAGCATTCACCATACAAAAAGTCACGATGGTGGGAACTGTTCACGTCTAGTCTGCCCCTGACAAAGTCTGCCCGTGGTAACTGAAAAGCTGTTAGTGAAAGAACTTGCCCTTCCTTCGCTAATCGAACCACACACGCACACAATCTATTACATCAAATTTGTATTGAATACAATGCAAATAATTCCGTACAACTAAAGTATTCCTTCACGAACAGGCCAGTTAAAAAAGTCGTTGGCGCGGAAAAGAACTCCAAATGAATCGACAGTTTTTTATCCTGTGTTGGAGGAAACCAAAAGCAAAAAGAACATTCTGGTTCCTGAGACGGTTGGTTAGCTCGCCAAATGTGAAGCAGTCGATATTCCTAAAAAAACAGCCGTCATCACTAGGTCCGCTACTGCAGTGGCCCCAAAGAATAGCGGCTATTTCATGGTCTACATTGGAGGATTGTTTAGCCTGGTAACTTTTTGGGATAAGGGTCAGTCATAGCAGGTAATGAAGTCACTTGAAAATTTTAGAGTTACTGAGGGAGGCAATACAGCACTGACAGAAGGCATCATCATCATCATCATCACCATCATCATCATCATCGCCAACATCATCATCATCATCATCATCATCGCCAACATCATCATCATCATCATCATCATCGCCAACATCATCATCATCATCATCATCATCGCCAACATCATCATCATCATCATCATCATCGCCAACATCATCATCATCATCATCATCATCGCCAACATCATCATCATCATCATCATCATCGCCAACATCATCATCATCATCATCATCATCGCCAACATCATCATCATCATCATCATCATCACTATCAACATCATCGTCACCATCATCATCACCATCATCATTATCATCATTGACATCACTATCATCATCGTCACCATCAACATCATCATCATCACTATCAACATCATCGTCA